TGGACAATTTATGGGGATGAAGCTCAAGGAGCCCAAACGAGTGGCCGCTGCTTCTAAGAGCGTTCCGCGACGTGTTTGCATGTCTCTCACCACTAGTGTAGCCGTAGGCGACGCCACGGTAAAGTTTAGAACTCCGCCTAGCAGTATTCTATTCTTAATCTTTTTCATACAATATGGAACAGTGGAGTTTGAACAGTAGGTTTATTTGAGTCATTTGTAGAGATTTGAAACTAAACCTTGTGTGCTCTGTTCGGTGTTCGACATTGATGATTTATGAAAGCTGTTTGCCCATACGGTTGATGATGGTCCGTATTTCGCTAAAATTTTCCCTGCCAAAATAACTGGTTGTGCGTTTGTCTCCAAGAAATGGTTTGGGCTTTGGAGAAAGACTGGCTATGATTGAAGAACTGAAGACAATATAAACCACATACGGTTGATGATGGTCCGTATTTCGCTAAAATTTTCCCTGCCAAAATAACTGGTTGTGCGTTTGTCTCCAAGAAATGGTTTGGGCTTTGGAGAAAGACTGGCTATGATTGAAGAACTGAAGACAATATAAACCACATACGGTTGATGATGGTCCGTATTTCGCTAAAATTTTCCCTGCCAAAATAACTGGTTGTGCGTTTGTCTCCAAGAAATGGTTTGGGCTTTGGAGAAAGACTGGCTATGATTGAAGAACTGAAGACAATATAAACCACATACGGTTGATGATGGTCCGTATTTCGCTAAAATTTTCCCTGCCAAAATAACTGGTTGTGCGTTTGTCTCCAAGAAATGGTTTGGGCTTTGGAGAAAGACTGGCTATGATTGAAGAACTGAAGACAATATAAACCACATACGGTTGATGATGGTCCGTATTTCGCTAAAATTTTCCCTGCCAAAATAACTGGTTGTGCGTTTGTCTCCAAGAAATGGTTTGGGCTTTGGAGAAAGACTGGCTATGATTGAAGAACTGAAGACAATATAAACCACATACAGTTTATGTGGTTGCCTGTTACTATGGCATCAGAACATTTGAATCTTTGTTTTCTTGATTATACGCCTTTTGGGGTTCTAGTTGAATATAACAACTTGCTGCAATTTGGACTTAAGCCGAACTTTATATGAATAAACAGACCCATAAGATACCAAAGAGAAATGATTAATAGGTATTCAACCTTCATAAAGATTTATTTTGTTTCTATTTCAAGTGAAATCCCTCAAAAAGTTAGTTCGGTAAGGAGGAGTAATATCAGAAAGAAACCCACCTCTTCTCTCTCTTTCTCTTTTACAAATTGGGGGACTTTGTATATAATTCATTTTCCTAATGATCTCGTACAATAAATAATGTGTGTTGTTGCTTGTGACTTTGTTTAGTTGAGGGAAATAGATATGGAAAAAAGGGACCCTCGGACTGTGGTGGCGATTATTCTGGGAGGAGGAGCTGGCACCCGTCTATTCCCCCTCACCAAGCGTCGTGCCAAACCTGCTGTAAGTTATCCACTACTAAAACTCAAATTTTCTTACATTTTATTTTCATATGTATCCATGTGGGGAATTGTTTCAATGACTGCTCTGTTTTTTTCTTATGATTTCCCGTTACAGGTTCCAATTGCAGGAGCATATAGGCTGATCGACGTGCCAATGAGTAACTGTATCAACAGTGGAATTAATAAAGTCTATATCCTTACTCAGTTCAATTCAGCATCCCTAAATAGGCATCTTGCTCGAGCTTACAACTTCAGTGGTGGAATCACCTTTGGAGATGGCTATGTCGAGGTGTGTTTCTTCACTTAAAACGTGTCCCTTAAGAGTTGAGCATATTATATTTCCAATACCTACATTCCAAAACCAAATATGACTTATAGAGCTTTCAGCTACATCTCAGGTTCTTGCAGCCACTCAAACTCCAGGAGAGGCTGGTAAAAATTGGTTTCTAGGTACTGCAGATGCTGTGCGACAATTCCACTGGCTCTTTGAGGTACTAAAATGCCCCTATGGAGTTACATAATGATATAAAATATGATATTGAGAATAATATAAATGAGTGATTATTTTGGTGAAAATTTAGGTGTCCCCTATACAGTATATAACATAAAGATAAAGCAAAGTCATGCAGAAAAGAAAATTTGAGTGTTAAATATATATAAATTTTCCCTGGTGTCATGTATGACATAGAAAACCAGCCTTCACCTAAGAATTGAGATAGTAATAATAGTCTTTCCTGCTGCAGGATGCCAGAAGCAAGAATATTGAGGATGTATTGATCCTATCTGGCGATCACTTGTACAGAATGGACTATATGGATTTTGTTCAGGTAAGGCTTGTTGCACTTACCTTCAGTTTTAGTTGTCGGTGCTTTTTAGACGTAGGTTTCTTGCCAGGAAGTTGGTGGGCTAATCTTCATCTTTTGTTACATTCAGTTTTAATCGTTAATCTTTTCATTACCAGAATCATAGGCAAAGTGGTGCAGATATCACTCTTTCTTGTCTGCCAATGGATGACAGGTGAGAGTGGTAACATATAGTTTTCCTTTCAGATGGCTTGCTCAAAAATCAATAATTCTAAAAAATCCCGCAGACCTTGATCATGCAGTCAGTTCAGTCCTTTTTTATGTTTGCAGAAACTTGCGAGGTCTTAAGTTTCAAAGTATTCCCAACTGAGTATTTAGGTCTAAAGATTCAAATTATTTCAGAAATATATAACGGAAGCAGAAGAGTGTCTCATGCCTCTGTAATTTGTTTAAGAATATTGTTACTCTTCATTATAGCCGGGCCTCAGACTTTGGTCTAATGAAGATAGACGACAAAGGAAGGATAATTTCATTCAGTGAAAAGCCTAAAGGAGAGGACCTGAAGGCAATGGTAACGTTGAAAATGGACTCTACTAGAAACTTTAAATCAAATGGAGTAACTTAAATGATTGTCCTGACGAAGCTAAACTTTATTATATCTATTAATATTGAAGGCAGTAGATACAACAATTTTGGGACTTTCAAAAGAAGAAGCTCAGAAGAAGCCATATATTGCTTCCATGGGAGTGTATGTCTTCAAGAAGGAGATACTTTTGAATCTTTTAAGGTATTGCCCATCTAAAGCTATTATGAATCTAGTCATCTTACAGCTTAAAGGACTTTGTCAACAACAAAATATTAGACTTTGCTTGAATTTGTTCAAGCCAGATGGCGCTTTCCAACTGCCAATGACTTTGGATCAGAGATAATTCCTGCCTCAGCCAAAGAATACTTTATAAAGGTCTGTATTTAATCTTTCTGTTGAGCCTGCGAAATCATTTGTAAATAATTTTATATTAAAAAGTTTCCAGATAAAAATGCTCAATTTTTTCAACTTTCTAGTTACAATTTAGACTAATAAAACTAATGGTTGCCTCTAAAATTTTGCTCAGGCTTATCTCTTCAATGATTACTGGGAAGACATTGGGACTATTAGATCCTTCTTTGAAGCTAACCTTGCCCTGACAGAGCAAGTAGGGCAACTAAACATTTTCCATATAGGATTTGCTACTCTCTCTCACCATTTAGGACTTTTTCTTAATGATTGCAATGTTAAAGAAAGCAAAGTGCAGGGCTTAGAGTTGTGATTCCAACTTTTTATCTTGTTATTTATGCCGTTGCACACCATAGGTATTCTCTCATGTTTGCTTATACCTTTCAGCCACCAAGGTTTAGCTTTTACGACGCAGCAAAACCGATGTTTACTTCGAGAAGAAACTTACCACCAACAAAGATTGACCAGAGCAAGGTCAGTAGTATTCTGCAGTTTCTCACTGTTTCATCCACTCTGAATGACATGTGAACAAAGATTGAATGCAGTGTCTCACTGTTTTGTCCTCTCTGAATGACATGTCAGAGGATGGTTCTAAAATAAAACAGCATTTGGAAAAAATAATTCAGTTACTAACAACAGCCAAGCGGCTTTTCTGGTTATTTTCTTTGCATTTATGTAGAGATAACATTCTGATTTGTTTGCAGGTTGTAGATTCAATCATCTCACATGGAAGCTTCTTAACCAATTGCCTTATAGAGCACAGTGTTGTCGGCATTCGGTCCAGAATTAACTCTGGCGTTCACTTGAAAGTATGTTTTCCTGGATTCTCTTGCATAGTAAGGTTTAAACAATAAGAAAATTATATGAAATGTGTCATCCAAGTATTTCTTAGTAGTTGCATTAGATGAAGTACTGTTCGAATAAAAAAGATGTTACAAGATGATATCAAAATTGTCAATTTATTTGCTCCAGGTTTTCGTCCATATTAAAGAGTAAACGTCTCAGTTTCTGAAGCATGATTGTTATCATAGAACTCAATTTATTATAGTAAATCCAACCAACGAGTTCAATTCAATCCTTTGCAAAACAAAGAACAAAAAAAAAATCTTAACGAGAGAGGTTTGTGATGATATGCAAAATGCAGGACACTGTGATGCTTGGAGCTGACTACTATGAAACTGATGCTGAAGTTTCATCTTTGTTAGCTGAAGGAAGAGTACCAACAGGAGTAGGAGAAAATACAAAAATAAAGTATGATCACCACTTCCAAAATAAAACCTTAAATCTTCATATATTTTGCAGCCTGCGTTTCTAATTCCTCACTGTTGATGCAATATAATGTGCAGGGACTGTATTATCGACAAGAACGCTAGAATCGGGAAGAATGTGGTCATTGCCAATTCAGAGGTACTGTTACCATAATGTAAACGAGAAATCTGTTGTTTTGGTAAATTACCCTATGAGATTTCAAATGACTTCGGAAGGAATGAATTGTGTGTAATCATATTGGAACCATATTGCAGGGCGTACAAGAGGCTGATAGATCTTCAGAAGGCTTCTACATACGTTCTGGCATTACCATCATATTAAAAAATGCAGTAATTAAAGATGGTTTGGTTATATAATAAACAGTTTATTCTTCATTGATGAACACGTAGATTCTTCATTAATTTGTATTATTTTCTTGGTTATTTTAATTTTTAGTATGAGATCACCTAAAATAAGAATGCAGATGATGTAACTACAAAATATATCAATGGATGTGATTCTTCTTCAACACAACAACTATGCAGAGCTAAGGGCATGTTGAGGTAAATGCCTATCCTCTTTGCTCTGTCTCCATATCAACATTATGTTCATTCTGTGCTATCAAATCTAGTAAGAATGTTAAGTTGAAACTAACTGTCTGAACAACCAGCTCATCACAGAAAAAACAGTATTTCATTTTCAACTTTTGCAGAACAAACCTCCCTTCTCATGTTATAAGGTTGGTAACCACATATTTCTCCTGGGAGAATGGTTTCCTAAATCTAACCCATCCTTCCGGCTCGATAAAGATAGTCGATATCAGTTCGGGAGATCGAAGTCGTCTATATGAGTTGTTTCAGGCACGTCAATTTCCCTAGCCAGTATGTCATTTGCTACAATAAGACAACCTCCTCCTTGTGTCACTTCCTGCGTCTAAAGTCATTAACTAGGCAAATCCGAATGTGTTGACAAGTTATAAAACTAGAGGGGGAAGTACTTCAATACTGTGGCTTTCTAGTAGGAAAAAGTTAGCAGTACTGTGCTTTCAACAGCCATTTTTAGGTGAAAGTATGACTGAGAAATGATGATATATACACTGAATCAGCAGCACCAAGAATCAAGATCCAGAAATTGCGTGTCCATCATTTGGCACCACCTCCCTAGACCCTAGTAATGCCCATTATCATTGCTGGGACTGGGAGACTTGCCTGATAAGTTTTATGCCTTAAATTTATCATGTAATGTAACTTCTCTTCCAAGAATCAGAACTAAAGGGAAGCCATTGGAAGGATGGGTGGGAGATTCGAACTCTTGATCATAGACCGATGCCAATTACCGTTGAGTTAAGTTCATGTTGACATGCCAACGGAAGGATCTAGCTTTCACTTTTCATGAAAAAAAAAACTTTTTTTTTTAATTTTCTTTTACCTAGGTTTGAATACTAGTTCATATAATATCTACTTAGCAGGAAAAATGAATGGAAAAGGTGACTATATTAGTTTTTATTAAATAATATTTGACTTATACTAAACTCGAATATTTTAAAATAAGATTGGACATAATGTGACTTCGAAAAAAAGTTAAGCGGATGGAATGCATTTTTAACTAAATGTTAGCTTTCTCATGGTAAAATATTTTGCAAAATATCTGCTTTATAATAGGTATATCATTGATGTAAATATATTAGTAATATACTTTATAGCTAAAAATGATATATGGAGTATAATCTATCACATATATTCTATCCATGCTACACAAATTGTATAGGAGTGATATTTTAGCTAAAAATTTGTCATATTTGCAAATTTGGATCGATGGTACCTTGCCGTCTGAATCGGTTAATGGAGTTGGTGTACAATTTCTTCTTCGTCCACCATTACTTTCTGTAATCACTCGCTCACTCTCCACATTGTTACCAGTTGCTGTGTTCTTCTTCATCTTCTATTAATTTACCAACCTCGATGGCGGATTTTAATGCCGATACGCCAACATTTTCAATCTCAACTAGGATGGTGGTGTTTTCTGGCGTTGTTGATGATCCTTCCGAAGATGATTTCAGTTGCAGTATCTGCCTTGAACCTTTCAACTCTCAGGATCCTGCCAGTGTAAGCCAGTTCCAAATCTCTACTAGCGACGGCGACCGTAAAGTTCTTTAACAGCATTAGGATTTGCGACATAGTTTAGAGCTTCTTGTCAATGTCTGACGTTCAACTCTTAGGGCTCCGTATTTTTCTTCCCCTGTTTCGGTGAAAGAGTTTTCGACGGGTTGCTTTTCTTAGATCATTCTGATCGTATTGCTTAAACTATAGTCATAGCTTACTTATAGTGCTGTGTTCGTCCAACTGATCTCATCACTCATCTGGTTTATGATAAATTATTTGATATCTCATCGCTAGATTCGTCTTTCTCAGTTTCTTTCTTTAGATTCACTTTCCGCCGTGGTGATTGATTCAAGTAAAATTTGATATCTGAAATGTGCTTCTGTTTGTCTATTTATATTTAATATGACACGTACTATTAAATGGTTTATTGTGTTTACTAATTTTACATCTAAAAGAATCTTCGCAATGTAATATCTCGAGAGCTCTTTCCGGAATTTCTTGGCTTTTATTGACGCCATGCTGATAAATATGTTGACCTTGTAAGCTGGCTGATTTCAGATTACTAGTTGCAAGCATGATTACCATCTACAGTGTGTTCTCGAATGGTGAGCCCCTGAACCATACTCGATTTCTTCACGTTTGCATAGGCTGACATTGGTGTTACCCTTCTTATTTCCATTTCTTTTGGGTGGGGGGTCCTCTCAGGGCTAAAAGAAGCAACGAGTGCCCAATATGTTCACGATCACTTGTCATGAAGGACCCTATCAGGTATGCTACTTTCAAATCATTCCCTAAACACCCAGGTAGACACGATCCTCACATATAGTTGTATTAAATTTTGGTATTTATTTATTTATTGTAATTTCATTTTTGAAATTAGATTACTAGACTTGGAAGCTTGTTAAATGGAAAAAGTAAAAACTAGATTATTAGGCGTTCCTAACCCATTTTAAAGACTAAGCCATGGAAATTTGAAGGCGTATGGAGAGTGATTGATATTGAGAAAAAGCATGCAAATATTTGCTTGATGAAGCATGTACTCTGTTGCCTTGCCTTCTAGACTATTCACTTCTTTAGGCTATTTCTACAGCCAAGAACTACTGGTTTCAATGAGGAATGAAAGTTTCTCAAGATCAATTAATCCCAGTGCTACGTCAACCATTCATGAGGAAGATCTCGAGCAAGTGAGGAATGCTTACCCATTTTCAATTTTAACGTACTGTTGCATATCCTATATTGCTTGCCCAACTAAGGACGATCTACGAACCATTGTAATTGATTATTCAGAATGCTTCCTACTCAAATGACTTTGGTTTTCATGAACGAATTATGCAGCATCTAGCTGGTGGAGCAAACAGAGCTCATTATCTTCACGAAACGGAGAGGCGGAGACTTTCTGGGCAAGAATTTGTATCGTCCCCTGAAGAGATTTTAGTTTTTGATTCATCAGACAGACGTTCACATACTTCTAGTTCACTATCTGAAGATCATTATAGATCTCCATCATCTGTGGCTTCTACCAATGCAATCACAACATTTAGTCCTTACGCTGGTAGTGAACCAGTGATGAAACCCAGGTTTGTGAGAATGGTTTTTACAGTATCTCGAGTGTTTAAAGTATTGTCTAGCATGATCCGTCTTTTGCACATCTTGATTATGCTTGTTGAAAGAATTATGTATTCTTGACTATGCTTGTTGAAAGAATTATGTATTCGACATTACATTCATCTTTGCTTGTTAAGATTGACTATTCCATTCACTTATTGCCTAAAAGATTGTCTTTTTGATGTGCAGAGTTCGTCATTGGCAAGCACCTTCTGACAATACACAAAGAACCAACACATGTGACATCTTCTCTTTCCCACAGTCTATAAAATCGAAATTTTCTGCTACATCAGCCAGGTACAACCAATGACAGCTTTGCATATCAGGAAACTCATATTTGAACACGTCTCAATGTTTGTAGCGCAGGAGGATTGATATGATTTGGTTTGATTGTTCTGTCATAGATACAAGGAATCATTTTCAAGGTGCACTCAAGGTCTTAAAGTGAAACTTATTGCTCGCAATAGCTCTTTGAAGGAGCTGAGCAAAGGAGTTCAGCGAGAGATGAATGCTGGGATTGCAGGGGTTACTCGAATGATTGGGCGTCTCGATCTTGTTGCAAGACGAAACTCTGCATCAAGTACTGGTCGAGGTATCACAGCCAGTGCAGCAAATTTTTTCAAGGGAATGCATGTGAGAGAGAATGTTAGTATCGAAGCACCAGTTCTAGAAAATGGAAACAAAGTGCATGGTTCAAGTTCGAATGCAACCTCAAGCAACTCCTGTACCAAGCCAGGATCTGTATAAGATTCACGTGGCATGGCCAGGTATGATACTAGGAAGTCTAGAACATGCAATTTCTTAATACAACTTGATAGCATATAGTCATAAACCAAATAGCAAAGAATTCTAGCTATCTTAAGGAACTAGGAATTGCCAACAAAACAATATGAAATATCCATGGAATAGGATATTCTAGCAACATTTTGGGTCTGTTTCAACTAAATATTTTATGCATGATACCTTTTTGACAGGAAAAACATTATCTCCAGGCATTTTGATTCATTCATCCGTCAATTTGTACTTCATCAGCCCAACATGAGACTAGAGGCATATCTAATGCAAGTAACGTATGGGGAACAGCCAACACCTCTGTTGACTGGCGTCCTGCAGTGCCTTTTGCATCCTGACACCAAACCTCACTGAAACAAGTAAGACTGATGATAATACTTCTCATATTTTTCTCATTAGTTTAGCTAAAATGGTTCCAAATATTTAGTAAAATGGACTATTGTGGGACAGGTGAATTTTGTTTCTTTATTTACAAGAACTTACAAATCAAGTACAAATTGACATGTTTTCTTTTCCATTTGGATTTTGTTCATTTGACATGAAATATTGAATACAACCTTTAGAAATTAGAACAATTTTTTTTTTCTTTTACTCAT